TTCTCGACGCACATATGCATAAACGTAGATTGTAAAAGAGATTATTACGTCGATATGCGCGTACGTATACAGTATACGTATACGGCCACATACATCACACATACACCAGAATTACACGTGCGACACCGTACATCTGCTCGGCCGTTGCTTGTGTAAACAGCGTTATTCGCTTATCGACAGACCAACACAACCATAGTGATATTTTGGGGAGCAACCTATGTTACTTTTTTTCTCTTTTTTATTAAGAAAAAAGAATAAACGTTTATAAATGCTGTAATGTAATGCTTGCTGCTTGCGAAAATAATGTTTCAAATTGATAATACTCCAAGATTATTTAGATTAATTATACATATTATTTTTTTTATAAATCTGTAATGTGCAAAATAATTGTGATAAAAGCTCAATAGAAAAAACCAATTTTGATATACGGAAGGACTTCCTACAATTTTATAAAACTTTTCTTCTATTCTACAAATGTGAAGGAAAGAGGCGTTGATTGAATTGAACATCAACGAACTTTGAGATCTTACGACTTTATAAAGTTCCTCTGATCGTTTGGGATCGAGTTTTGGGTAACCATTGACTTTTGCTGACCGTCCTACGATTCGACCGCGATTTCCTCGCTTCCATTGTGTCACATTTGAAGCAATCTTGACTCTGTAACTTCGTAGGATCTCGCTGGCTTTCCAAGTAGCGGGTTAAGTTAATGCCGACAATTGTCCCGTTGAGTCAATTATTTGCAATCTCTATGCAGAACTTCAAGGCGATTCTGTAGTTAACTTATTAACCGGGCGGAAAGTTTAAGCAGGAGTTAAAATTCCGCGCTACGTCGAGTGACACTGATTACATCAATGTAAGCGGATTTTATCGTGGTTCCATTCTTATCATTTAGAATTTACACCTTTTATTATTAACAAAGGGATAAAGCTTTGTACATAAAAATCTTATTGCGTTATCAAAATATCAAAAATTTTCAAGTCAACATTGATAATTGAAATTTTTTGTGTGTACTGTTTTGCGTGTTTATGCAACAATGTCAACAAATATGCACAATTTAATCTAATCGACATTTTATATGATAATATTTTGACATTTTCACAAAAAAGAAGACTAGAATTTAAAAAAGTTATAAAGTTAACAGTGTGTCAAGCGTAAATAGAAAAATTCAAATTTAATCAATGATCGAATGATGCAGTTTAATTTGCCACAGATGCTAGTCTTTCAAAATGTATTTTTGATTATGACTTATGAAAATTGACGTAGTACGTAAGATATCTGTACAGTAACAAACGACAAAGTTGTTCCGAATAGTCGGAAGCCAAGTTTGTGTGATTCAAGCCGGCGGCGATCCAAGTGCTTCGGCATTGCCGCCTGACACTGTTTATAATTTAAGGGGTTCTTGAGAGAGTCGAGAGGGTTTAGAGTGACGCCGACAGTGGCCTAAGATGTCGCAAACGACGATGTCGTTCTACTGCGGTTACGGGTGTAAGGATCGGTTAGGCAGGAAAAGACGGAGAGGCACAAAGTCCAAGTGTCGAGATGTCTACGTTCCTTGCCACGGTTCTGATACCTTCGTGACTTTGTTGCCAGGAAATGAAATTGCCGTGACACCTTTACATGCTCCAATTTCTTGGACTATTGTTCGTTTATAGTTATGATGATATGATTATTAAAGATGAAGACATTTCTTTCCTCGAATCTGACTCTTGACTCTGTCGAGTTATCTAACTGAGAGGTATATATATATATATATATATATATATAATA